TACTTCCGTAGTGATACTGCCTCGGAAACCCAAGGAGGGGTCACTATGAGTCGGGTTTGACTCGATGGCACATAACAGAGGCAAAAGGGGCCATCTCACTGCCATTGAGAGAGAAGAGCTGGAGATGAAGTGGAGTATGTCCTTAGACCTGAGGTCCCTGCACTGGACCTCTTTGGCTGAGAGATGCCCAGTTGAGAGAGACTCCTGGGTGAGAGACAACGGCAGTGGAGCCAAGAGGCAGGAGATGGAGCGGCAGGCTTTCCAGCCCATGGAGCAAGAAAGCTGAGTGCCCTTGAGCAGGAGGTTAGTTGACTGAGTGAGTTGCACCTAGGGGTACCTATTGGCAGAGCTAAAAGAGCTTTGTAACACTTTCCCGAGGAGGGCAGAGGCAAGGCCAAGAGGCTAAGGGGCCATAGAGGCATGCCTCAGGGCATAGCAGACAGGAGACTGTCCTAATCAAAGAATTGTATCCTGCGCATGTTCCTCAACCTGAATTGTAGCCTGTTACTTCCCTCATAAACCCCATAATTGTGAGTATTGTGAATTCTGTGTGGCCAATGCAATGACTTACCAACTCCAGCAGAGAAGTAGTGAGTGTCAGAATTAGTAAAAAGGTTGGAGGGTTACAGTATGTCTGGCCTCATAGGAATAAGCCTTGGGCTGCTGATGGTTATTCTGTCTCCCTCTTGTGAAGTTATAGGAGGTCAGACCCCATGCCCTTTTTGCAGCACCATTTGTTTTCAAGGCTATCATTTCTCCACTGAATGACTTTTGTACTTTTGTTGACAATAATTTTTATTTAAATATAAAGATACAAACTATATGTTATATAGCAAACATAAAGAAAAGTGCGTACTTTTGTTCAGTTTGATATATTACCACAAAGCCATCATCTAGTTCAAGATATAGAATATAGTTTGTTGTTGTTGTTATGTGTCGTCGAGTCAGACCTGACTCATAGCGACCCCTCCTTGGGTTTCCAAGGCAGTATCACTACAGAAGTAGATTGCCCCATCTTCCTTTCGAGGAGTGGCTGGTGGGTTTGAACCACCAGCCTTCTGGTTATCAGTCAAATGCCTTAGGCACTACGCTACCAGAGCTCCCAGAATATAGCTAGAACTTCAAAATCCCCTCTCATGTCCTCTCCCACTCACTGCTACCTTTCAAAGGTATCACCATCACAACTTCTAACATCATGGGTTAACCTTGCCTGTTCTTGAGCTTTATATAAATAGAATCATGCAGAATATACTCTTATATTAGGCTTCTTTGCTCATTATTACATCTGTGAGATTCATTCATGATGGATGTGCAGTTGTAGTTTATTTATTTTCATTACTGTACCATATTCTCTTGAATGATTGTGCTACTGTTATACTGTTTGGGAGACATTTGTATTTTTTCCATGATTTAGCTATTAGAAATAGTGCTGCTGTGAATATCTTGGTACTTGTTTTTTAGTGCATATGGGCATAATTTTGTGTTAAGGTGTATACCTAGGAATTATAGAGTCGTAGTATGTGCAAATAATTAAATTTAATAAACAATGCCAAACTGTTTCCAAAAGTTTCATACTAGTTTACACTTTTAGTAACAGTGTGTGACAGTTACTATTTCTCCACAGTCTTACAATATTAAATCTATTTAAGTATAACTTCTCTTGTAAGTGCATAGTGGTATCTCAGTGTGATTTAAATTTTCATTTACATGATTGCTTATGAGGTTGAGTACATTTCAATTTACCTGATTGCTAAGGAGATTGAGTACATTTTCTTATGTTCATAGGTCATTTGGTTTTCATTTTTAGTGAAGTATCTATTTGCATATCTTTTTCATTTTTCTCTTGTCATTTGCATGTTTCTCATTGATTTGTAGGAGTTATTGTGTATATTGTATAAGATCCTTGTATGTATTATATAAGATCTTTTATCATTTATGACTGTTGCAAATAATCTCCCCACCTGTGGTTTGCCTTTTCTCTGTCTTAATTTTAATCTTATAATTGTTATTTGCCCTTGAGTCAGACCCGACTCATAGCGACCCCTCCTTGGGTTTCTGAGGCAGTATCAGTATGGAAGTAGATTGCGCAACCTTCCTTCTGAGGAGTGGCTGGTGCGTCTTGTAATAGTTATAAATATTTTATAAATACAAAGCTGTGCTTTGTTTTGGAATTCGTTCCCAATCCCAAACTTGTAAAAACCGTCTTCTTTCTTATTTTCTAGACACTTTATTATGTTACTTTTCATTAGATTTATAATTCACCAGCAGCTGATTTTTGTGGATGGATAGAGGGGTTAAGTTTAATTTTTTCCCATAACCCATGACCCATACACATTTATTGAAAAGATCCATCCTTTTCTACTGTTTTACAGTGTCAACATTTGGATTTTCTGTTTTTTTCCACTGGACCATTTGTCAATCCTATGCCAGTACCACAGTGGCTTAATTATTGATTTGTGTTTTTCCCAGTGGTCAGTGTTTAAGAATAAAAAGAGTGTCTAATTGCAGGGACAAGTGATATTTGAAGATGTGGCTGTGGATTTCACCCAGGAGGAATGGCAGTACCTGGACCCTCCACAGAGGACCCTGTACAGAGATGTGATGTTAGAGACCTATAATAACCTGGTCTCTGTGGGTAAGAATGGCTTCCTTGGGTAATTTTCCTGTTTGTGATTATCATGTCCAATACAGGGCTTTTCCTTTCTCAGTTTCTGAAATTTGTCAAGTCTCTGAACTGCTTGAAGTGTTTGACATTGAATTCCAAGGGTGAAACTTCCTTTTCCCCTGACAAGGTATTTGTGAACTCAAAACTTGGGTCAAATGGTTTGACTTTACCATTGTGACAAGGGATAGGTCCCTTGTGCTGCCAACAATGTCAGTGTCTACTTTCTCAGAGACTCTGAAGACTAAGGAAGTATCTCTATCATTTCTCATTAACAGAGCATCAGGTTACCAAACCAGACCTCATCCTCAAATTAGAGTTAGAAGAGTCGTTCTCAGCAGAAGGAAAAATCCGAATTTGGAGCTTTCCAGGTAAGTAGGATTGACCCAGGTTATGGAGTATATAAGGCCCCTGGTTGTCTCTCATGAGTGAGGACCTCTGAAAGGGCTTTCAGTATATTGTGGGGAAGGTTGTGGCCCTTTGTTGCTGTTTGGGTATAGGAACGTGAATACATTAAACATAAGACTGACATCCCCTTCCCCTGTGCCACATACACTAGGCTACTTTCCTTAAATTGGTGCTCATTCACAGGTTTCTGCTCTGTTACTTTTGTCCCATAGGTAAGTGTCTTTTGAATGGCACTCCCCGCCCCAACTAGTTCTAGCATTCTCATTTCTCACTGACATATATGAAGCCGGGCCCATGTTAGTAACAGGCTTAGATGCTAATGTTCTAATTACAGATTGGATTATTGGATTCCATTCTTCCTACTCAATTTAAATATTCTTGTCAGATCTGCTGTCCTAAAACATCTTGATCATCTTTTTTAAAAAATAGCTTTATTGAGATATAATTCACATACCATAAAATTCACCCTTTTAAAGTATGTAGTGTGGTGGTTTTTAGTATATTCAGAGTTGTGTAACTGTCATCACTGTCTGATCTAAAACATTTTCATTACTCTAAAAAGAAACCCCTATCCCTTAGCAGTTACTCCCCATTCCCCTCTCCCCCATTCCCTGGCAACCCTCATCCACTTTCGGTCTCATGTTTTGAATATTTATATAAATAGAATCATTACAATATCTGGCTTCTTGCACTTAGCATAGTATTTTCAAGGTTCATCCATGTTGTAGTATGTATCAGTACTTCATTGCATTTTATGACAGAAAATATTCCATTTGTGTGAATATACCATATTTTGTTTATCCATTCATCTGCTGGTAGACATTTAGGTTATTTCCACTTTTTGGCTATTATGAATAATGCTGTTGTGAATACTCATGTATGTTTTTTGTATGAATATATGTTTTTATTTCTCTTGGATATATATCTAGGAAAGGAATTGCTTATTAGTCTTGTGGTAATTCTCACTTTAACATTTTGAGGAGCTGCCAAACTGGTTTTTACAGAGCTATAACATTTTACATTTCCATCAGAAATGTATGAAGGCTCTAATTTCTTTGCATCATTGTCAAAATGTGTTATTTTCCATTTTTTTTATTGTAGCCATCTTAATGGATATGAAGTGGTATCTCATTGTGTTTTTTATTTACATTTCCTTAATGACTAGTAATAATGAGCATCTTCTCATGTGCTTATTGGCCATTTGTATGTCTTCTTTGGAGAAATATCTATTCAGATCCTTTGTCCATTTTGAAATTTCATTGTCTTTTTATTGTTGAGTTGTAGGAGTTGATCATATATTCTGGATAAAATCCCCTTGTCAGATATATGATTTGAAAATATTTTCTCCCATTTTATGGGTTGTTGTTTCACTTTCTTGATGGTCTTTTGAAGCACAAACATTTTAATTTTTGAGGTAGTCCAATTTATCTTTGTTCTTTAGTAGCCTGAGTTTTGGTGTCATATCTAAGAAACCATTCCCTAACTCAAGGCCAAGATTTATTCCTGTTTTCTTCTAAAAGTGTTATAGTTTTAGCTTTTACATTTAGGTCTGTGATCCATTTTTAGTTAATTTTTGTGTAAGGTGTGAGGCAGGGTTCCAACTTCATTCTTTTGCATGTAAATATCCACTTTTTCCTGTATCATTTGTTGAAAGACTATTTTATTCTCCATTGAATTGTGTTGGCACCCTTTTTGAAAATCAGTTGACCATAAATGTGAGGGTTTATTTGTAGACTCTGAATTCTATTGCATTAATCTCTATGTCTGTCCTTAATGTGAGCACCACACTGTCTTGAGTACTATAGCTTTGTAGTAAGTTTTGAAAATGGAAAGTGTGACTCCTCCAACTTTGTTCTTTTTCAAGATTGTTTAGAATATACAGGGTCCCTTGCATTTCCATCTGAATTTTAGGATTCAGTTTCTGCAAATAAAACAGCTGGGATTTTGAGAGGATTGCATTGAATCTGCAGATCAATTTGCAGAGTATTGTCATCATAATGCTGAGTCTCCTGATCCATGAACATGAGATGTCTTTCTGTTTATTAAGATAATTCTTAATTTCTCTCAGCAATGTTTTGTGGATTTTGGTGTACAAGTTTTTCACTTCTGTTAAATGTATTCCTAAGTATTTTACTCTTTATAATGCTATTGTAAGTGGAATTATTTTCTTAATTTAATTTTTATATTTTTCATTGCTATATGTGTGTATGTGTGTATATATAAAATATATTGCTATATGTATAGCTCTGGTAGCATAGTGCCTAAGGCACTTGACTGCTAACCAGAAGGCTGGTGGTTCAAACCCATCATCCATTCCTCAGAAGAAAGATGGGGCAATCTACTTCCATAGTGATACTGTCTCGGAAACCCAAGGAGGGATTGCTATGAGTCGGGTCCAACTCAATGGCATATAACAACAACATAGCTGAATACACAGGTGCATTCATATGGGGCAAATAATTTTTTTTTCCTCTTAAAGTCAATTATTACAGATTTTTTTTCTCTTGTTCATTGGAAACATGGACTCATGATTGTTTTAAGATTTGAGCCCATGAATTACACTATTGCATTTCTACCTAGGTAGAAACATTGTAACTCTGGCATAGTTCAGAGTAACGGTAAAAGGTTATAAAGAATCTGATACTTCAGGTCTTCAGAGTTGATGTAAATCAGAGATGATGTAAAAGTAGAGGTAAGAAAGACTGCGGTGTCAGGGAAGATTATTCTTGGTAACAAAAATACTAGCTAGCAGTTGGGAGGTTAGTAAAAGAACTGTAATTGATGACCAAGATACTTTCTTCAGTAATTCTGATAAAATAAGATGATAGTACCAGCTTTCATATGGCAGGGTATTTCTTAAGAAAGTCTATTTCATAATGCCAACGTGTAAAGATGATGTATTATACTTCTTTCTAGGAGAAGTCTGCCAAGTTGATGAGAAGATTGAGAGGCAGCACCAGGATAATCAAGATAAATGTTTGTTGATGCAAGATGGAGTTCCTGACCAGAAAGTATTTACAACCAAGAGTGGTCATGAATGGAACAAATTTGGAAATATACTTCATCTGAGTAATAACCTTGCTACTTCATTACAAAGACCCCATGAACATGAATCATTTGGAAGCAATATGGCAGATAATTTAAATTTATTTAGTATGTCTTTAGGAAAGAAACATGATAACGGATGTGCAAAATTATTTTTCCATACTGAGTATGAGAAAACAAATACTGGAGTGAAACCTTACGGATATAAAGAATGTGGGAAAGCCCTCAGGCGAAAGAAGGGTCTTAGTCTACATCAGAGAATTAAAAATGGAGAGAAACCCTTTGAATGTACTGCATGTAGGAAAACCTTTAGCAAGAAGTCACATCTTATTGTACATTGGAGAACTCATACAGGAGAGAAACCCTTTGGATGTACTGAATGTGGAAAAGCCTTTAGCCAAAAATCTCAGCTCATTATACACCTGAGAACGCATACAGGAGAGAGACCTTTTGAGTGCCCAGAATGTGGGAAAGCCTTCAGAGAGAAGTCAACTGTCATCATCCATTACAGAACTCATACAGGAGAGAAACCTTATGAATGTAATGAATGTGGAAAAGCCTTCACTCAGAAGTCAAACCTCATTGTCCATCAGAAAACTCATACAGGAGAGAAAACCTATGAATGTACTAAATGTGGGGAATCTTTCATACAGAAGCTTGATCTAATTATACATCATAGTACTCATACAGGAAAGAAACCCCATGAATGTAATGAGTGTAAAAAAACTTTCAGTGATAAGTCAACCCTCATTATACATCAAAGAACTCACACAGGAGAGAAACCACATAAATGTATTGAATGTGGGAAGTCCTTCAATGAGAAGTCAACCCTCATTGTGCATCAAAGAACTCATACAGGAGAGAAACCCTATGAATGTGATGTGTGTGGAAAAACCTTCACCCAAAAGTCAAACCTTGGTGTACATCAGAGAACTCACTCAGGAGAGAAACCCTTTGAATGTAATGAATGTGAGAAAGCATTTTCCCAGAAATCCTATCTCATGCTACATCAGAGAGGTCATACAGGAGAGAAGCCCTATGAGTGCAATGAATGTGAAAAAGCGTTCTCCCAAAAATCATATCTCATTATACATCAAAGAACTCATACAGAAGAAAAACCCTATAAATGCAATGAATGTGGCAAAGCATTCAGAGAAAAGTCGAAGCTTATTATACACCAAAGAATTCATACAGGAGAAAAACCCTATGAGTGTCCTGTATGTTGGAAAGCTTTCAGCCAGAAGTCACAGCTCATAATACATCAGAGAACACACACAGGAGAGAAACCCTATGCGTGCACTGAGTGTGGCAAAGCTTTCAGAGAAAAATCAACATTCACTGTGCATCAGAGAACTCATACTGGAGAGAAACCCTATAAGTGTACAGAATGTGGAAAAGCTTTTACCCAAAAATCAAACCTTATTGTACACCAGAGAACCCATACAGGAAAGAAAGCCCATGGGAAAGCCCACACCCGAAAGTCAAAGCACATCACACATTAGAGAATAAATCAATAGTGTCTGTTATGTACACTGAAGGAAAGTTTTGTCAATTTAATTAACATTTTTTAATATGAGGGAATAGTCAGTCTTTCCTCAGTCTTCACCCAAAAGCTACAGGAGAAAAAAAAAGAAGCGAAGTCCAATTCATATACCTGACAAAATTACCAGATAGCTCTGATAACAGGACTACCAGAGGCATAGCAAATCAAGCACCAGTGCAGGAGATCTCAGAGAGAATGTTCAAGGCTGCAGATGTGAGACATCACTGGTAAGGACTCTTATGTGAGTTTGAGAATACATCCTAAGGTGCAAAACTGTATATTTTCCTCAAAAGCAATAACAGAGTGTATGGGCAGGTAGGAGGTAGGATGTTTCCTAAATCCATTTGGTGTCTGAGAAGAAACAGGCAGGGGTCTTGACAAAGAATTACTCAGACAAGCCATATTTGCAGAAAGTAGTTTGTACTGGCAGCAGGAGCAGTTGAGGGGCTGGGGGCTGGCAGAGAAGCAAGTACCTTTCCTCGTGAAGAACCCTACTCAGAAAAAGTAAAGCCCAAAGGAACACATAAATGCAACCAACAAACAAAACTCCCAGTTGTAAGAAAAACTGATCTGCCTAGAATGTGGCCCCAGTTTCTTCCCTGACATGATCCTCCAGCAAATAGCAGGTTCATAAAAAATACTTCTCATTCAACAATGAATGATTAAAAAGTAATCAAAACCAGAAATGCACATGGTTTTTGAGCCAGCATTTCTATTTCTAGGAATGTATATACTCACATGTACAAAATGATGAACATGATCCACTGTTTGTAAAAAACATTCAAAAGATTGGAAGCTGTCTAAATGACAGCTTCAGGGGTCTGTTTTCCAAAATCACAGTATATTCATACAGTGAGCTCCTAGGTAGACATATATATATATATATATAAAGAGAACTTGAACAGCCTTTATGTATAGGATGATCTCCAAGGTATGTTATCAGGTTAGAAAAGCAAGATGCAGGACAATGAGTATAATATGCTACTACTTGTATATAAAAAGAAGAAAAAAAATGGTTTAAGTTCATAATTGATTGTATATGTATAAACTATCTTTCAAAAGATACACAAGAAGCTCGTGACCTTGATTACCTCTAGGGATGGAACAGGAAGTGGGTGGCTGGGGGATGAGATTGGGGAAGGACACAACTGTTTATCTTTTCATAACTTGAAAATTATGTGGATGTACTATCTTTTCAATAAGTAAATAAAACTTTTTAAAAGCATATTTTTACATAATTAATGTTACAGTGAAGTCAGATTCTAGACACAGGATTTAATAACATACTTTATATAGATATGCTCAATTTGGAGTTTAATTTTTTAAAAAGAGTGAATGGAATCATGCAGATAGCACAACAGATATCCAATTAGTTCCAAAGGCACATAGGCATTATTCTCTTGAGGGTGCAAAGAAGAGCTGGGACCACATTATGTAAACTTAAAATAATTGAGCCTGCAACACACTTCTGATTTAGTATGCACAGTGCCAGTGGTGAAAATATCCATACTAAAGTCCACAATATCTTAAATTGGTTTAAATTACTATATATATACTTTTTACAAGGAGCTCTGGTGGTGTGCCTAAGGTATTTGACTGCTAACCGTAAGGTTGGCAGTTCAAACCCACTAGCCACTCTGCAGAAGGAAGAATGGGCAATCTATATCCGTAAAGATTTACTGCCTTGGAAACCCAAAGGGGGTCACTATGAGTCAGAATTGACTCAATGGCAGTGAGTTTGGTTGTTTTTTTAAATACTTTTTGCAAGGAATGTAAAGCATGAATGTACTTGCTCAAGGTCACATTGCTGAGTAGACAACTGCTGAAGACTACATAGCCTCAGCACATTTGCTCCAGAATGAGAAGTTCTGCTATGTGAATTACCATATTTGTGGCCTTTATGCTTCTATAGTTTTACACTGAGGCTATCTCTGGTGGAGCTGAACAGCCCAAGCTGTACAAAACCTGGGGATTGTCAGTGTTTGGACATAACAAAATAAGTGAGCTAGACCTGAGATCTTGTCTGTGCCATCCAGGTCTTTTTTTTTTTTTTCTGAATTAATCCTTCAAGAAAATAAACCATTAATTCATTTTTTAATAAGCTGTGTTATTCAGACAGTCAGATTCAGTCTCTTTCCAGGGAGAAGGATGCTTGGAGAAGGAATATTGGGGGTGACTGGCTAATCCTGATGCAGTTTTTAGACCCAGCAAAGGTCATCCTACATTGGGGTGGAGGTGGGAGGTTAGGTCTTTCCGTTTTGGGTGGATCTTGGACTTCTGATTCCTAGGTGACAGGTGGCAACCTGATGGGCAGCATGTAGATGAGCAAAGGTTAGTGATGTACAAACCTGGAGGGGAAGGATGGGAATGAACAGCAGGATATGATTAAATAGAGTAGAATTAGAAGAAGAAGAGAGAAGAGTGTAATGAAGGGCCAAGTGTGAGTGAATGAAGTAATAAAGGACAGAGTAGGGGTGAATAAGGAGAATAGTTGAGATAAATGGGGGAAATAGCAGGTGGAATGAGTTATTTTAGAAGAAAGTGCATAAATATGAGTAATGGGGAGAATGGGAGTGTGTAGAGATACAGCACTAGTGAAAACTGGACGTGTGCTGGGCAGTCAGTTTTGGACCAACTTTCTGTAATGGGAGAATGATGGGAGGTCTGTGGAGTAATAGTGGTCTGTGGTATCAGAGGTCATAGGGTCTGGATGTTTCCTTTTTTTCCCCTTATTTTATTGTGCGTTGGGTGCAAATTTATAAAGCAAATTTGTTTTACATACAACAGTTTGTGCACATTTGATTTCACACCCCGATTACCATCCCCAACCATAACAAACTCTCCTCCCCTCATGTCCCTGTGACTACTGCCTCCCTATGCCCTTCTTAACTATGCATTCCTGCCTGTCCAGCTTTCCCTCTACATGAATGCTGCCCCTCTGGTGTCTCATGGCTGATTGCTCTAAGGGGTGCATCTCCCTACAGTAGGTGAGTGCATCGCCCTGAGGTAGGTGTTTTGCATGTAGGTCTTTCTACCGTTGGGCTGAGAGCCAATCTATGGGAATGAGTCCATTTCCAGGCCTGAAGGGTAATGTGGGGCAATATTCGCAGGGGTTCCATCAGACTCTATCCGACCAGTAATTCTGGTCATTTTTGTGTTTTTGAATTTTGTTCCACATTTTTCCTCCCCCTCTATCCAAGATCTCCAGTTTTGATCCCTTTCTGAGTGGATGGTGTTGGTAGCTGGGCACCATCTAGTTCTTCTGCTCTTGGGGTCGTGGAGGCTGAGGTCATCATGGTCCATCTTATCCTTGGAATAATTCTTTCCAGATGCCTTTTATTTTCTTCACTCTTACTTGATTCAGATGAGAGAAGACCAATAGTTGCAATTGCATCTTAGATGGCCGTTCAAAAGCTTTTAAGACCCCAGTCACCGCTCACCAAAGGTTGTAGAACAAGATTGTTACACACTATTCTGTTTTGGTTACCTAGGTAACAAATGGGATGGCCTTAAAAAAACAGGAGTTATTGTCTTATAGTTTGGAGGCTTTAAGTCTGAGTTCAAGGTGCCAGACTCTAGGGGCTATGTGAAAGCCCCTCGACCTTGGGCTTCAGCTCTACCTCTTGCTCCCAGCCCACTGAAGCTAGTGGTATCTCCCAAGGTTGACAAGTAAAAAGGTACAGTCCTGATGTTACCAAACCACATGGCAGGCCATTAATTCAAGTCTATTGAAAGTCCCAAGGTCAGCAGAGCAGGGCAGGCTGCTGAACAACAACATGATTCCATGCAGGGTTCAAGTGTGCCATAAGGTAGAGACTATTCCCAAAGCTGTTTCTTATATATGGGAAGCAGACCACATACCCAAAAGCAGCTCAGCCACTCAAAGAGGAGTCCACCTTGGAGTTGATTACCAGTCTCATCATGGGGAATACTATATCCAACTGCCCAGCCACTCAACCAGGCCTAGCCAAGTTGAAACACAAACTTAACTACCACAATTACTTTCAAATGCTGTGGGGTACTTAGCCTACATGTTGTGTACTGTCACTGTGACATTGGGGCACTGAGCTAAATATTGTATGTATCAAGGAGAACAGACCCATATGATTAAACACCCCAGATTTATAATTAAGACCCCTTGGGGGTGCCTTAGTCTTGGGACTGGAGCCAATCCAGAGGTTGACCAAGCCTCACAAACACTGCAACCCAGCCTTAGATCAGCTCAACCTCTGACTGGTTGAGAGGTAATCTGCCTCTGTTTGCCTGAGGATAGAGTCAATCCTCTCTGGAAGGAGAGAGCAACTTCAAAAGCCTGTAAGTAATCTCATATGTAATTTCCAACATTCAATTAAAATGACTATGCATTCAGAACCTAGATCAGGCAAAAAAAAAAAAAAAAGGACAATGGATGTCAGCCCTCAATTGACTAAGATCTTTAACTTATTAGGCACTAACTTTAATATGGTAATAAATTAGTATGTTCAAGTTAAGAGATGATAAAATGGATAATATCACAAGAAAATTGGAATGTGTTTTGCTTCTCTCATGCTGCTGTAATAGAAAATACCACAAATGGATGGCTTTAACGAAAAGGAATTTATTCTCCTACAGTTTTGAAGGCTAGAAATCCAAGTTCAGAGTGCCAGCTCTAGGGGCTGAGTGAAGGCTTCTCGACCTTAGGCTTCAGCTCTGCCTCTTGCTCTCAGCCCACTGGAGCTGGAGGCTTTCCTTAACTCAGACAACTGCTGGCTGCTGAGGCTGACAAACCTGAGGTCAACAAGTAAAATGGCACAGTCTCTAAATTACCAGACAACATGGCAGGCCACTAATTCAAGACTATTAACAGTCCCAAGATCAGCAGATAACATGGCAGCTGCTCCAGTAGATTCTACCATGGAGTTGATTACCAGTCTCATCATGGGGAATAACTACATCTAGCTGCCCAGGCTTTCAAAACTAGGTCCTGCCAAGTTGACACACATTTACCACAAAATGTATAAAAAAGAACCATGTAAAAAGTCTGTGACTACATGTTAGGCCACAAAGCAAGCCTCAATAAATTTTAAAACATTGAAATACTACAAAGCATCTTTTCCAATCATACTACTATAAAATTAGAAATCAACAACAGGAAGATCAAGGAAAAATAAATAAGCATGGAAACAGAATAACACCCTGATTAAAAACTACTGAGTTAGAAGAAATAAAAAATGAAATAAAATCCTTCAAATGAGAAAACACAACATACCACAGTTGTGGGACACAGCAAAAGCAGTGCTTAGAGGACAATTTATAGCAATAAACAAACACCAAAAAAGAAAACCAAAA